TAATCCAAAAAATATATTATTACTGAATATTAAAAAAAACAAATCCTTCGAAAATGAATTGCGAATTGTGAAGTCAAAACTGACACTCATTTAAAAATATTAAGTAAAAAAGAAAAAGATAAAAAACACGCAGTAATCCGCAATGCTACCTGCAAAATTTGTTCACGGCCACAACTATTTGTCGTATGGATATTAAATTTATGTATAGCACTGCCTTTAATGGTTATTTGGCTAATCGCAGGTAGGAATTGGTGGATAATGGAACTTTTGTGTGACAAAACCAACAATTTGTTTAGCCACATGGTGATGATTTGGGTGAACACGATTACTTACATCCAAATTGTATTCGTTTAGCAACTACGAATCTCATTCCTGAAATAAAGCATCCGAAATTTCAGTTTACTACAGCATAATCAATATTGATTTCATAAATTAAAGTAACATAATTAAATGGCAATGCTATTGTGCGAGATTCGCTTTAAAATCCAAACCTTGACTCCAAATGAAATTCCCAAAAATTATTGAAACAATTATCTTTTTTTCATTTTTAAAAAAGTAATAAAAATTAGGACGTATTTTGAATAAATATTTGAAATATTTTAATAAATATGGAATATGCCAACACGAATGGAAAAAGATTGCATCCAAAATAGAAATATTAAGAAAAAATTTAATTACTTGCGTAAATTAAAATATGACGATTTTAATATGCTTTAATTCATTTTTCATCATTAGAATTATTTCTTTTAAAACAAAAAGACAAAAATATAAAGAAATGCTATAATTTGCGAAAACAGAAAAAATATATATATGCACGCAGATTTAAAATATTAACAACGAATCTAAAATTATATCAGTATTTATTTAGGCAGCATAAATCATCCTTCAAGGTATATGAATAAATGAGGCATTAAGAACGACACATGCAAATGCAATCAATAATGACAATAATAATTAAAATGAAAAAAGAGTATTTTCCAACATTATTACTGTGTTGAAACTTTTAAACTGTCTTTTGAGACTATAAACAGATGAATATTACTATTCATAAGACTATTACTTTATATTTTCAATTTGCTTCAAAACATTTCATGTATCTTTAATTGATAAAAGCAATAAATTTATTTGTTAAAAATTTTTATGGTAGATACTATTTCTTACTGAAAAAGTCATAGATGCTTTTTAGCACTTTAAAGTAGAACAATAAAGTGATTACTTATCAGAAGCATAACAAAATTATATAATAAGTGCTACGAAACAAAAAGGACGAGATGTTACTAGTAAAAATTTTTAATAAGGATTTTTTCCTAAAATAACAAACTACGAGTGCAAAAATATATATCAAATCGCAAGCGAAGGCATAACATGAAGTCACATATTTTAAATTATGCCAAAATGTAGCAGAAAAGCAACGATTATGGAAAAATATTCTACTTTGTATAAATTCCTGCAGCAAAAAGAATATTAGAAAAATAGAGGTCGAATTTTGTTACAATCCCAATTATAACGAATGTTAGATAAGCATTAAAAAAGAAATAAAAGACAGAGAAATAAATAAAAAGAAATGAGCAACTGCTAAACTAACACTGCACTGAGATCAATATTCCTCACAGTTAATAAAATATTATACATGAAAAAATCACACGATAATACAAACAGTAAGGCTACAAAAACATTCCGAAAATTAAGATACGAGCTGTGATTTCTAAAGCACAAAATAAATCTTAAACATATCAATAAAAATTAAAAGTTTGAGATTTACTGCATCCATCGGTGATATACGATTGTTATGACAAACATAAATAATAAAACAAAAATAATTTATAAACACAATAAATTCAAAAAGACAAAGCACACTGACCTGTTTTTTATTTCTAATATTTAGCCAAAATATAACCTTCCAATTTTATTGACAATTTATTGTAACTACGCTAATAATGACACTAAACCTTTTCTGACATAAAAACTCCACGGTCCTTCTTTATCAATTAATTAAATTTCCATTTTTTACATCCAGATTTTCATCAAAGGCATTCATTTCACGCCCATTCCTGTAATTGCGCTATTAATGTTGTCAGAACTTTTTCCGACAGCAGTGAATCAATGAAATGTTTTTGAAATGAGGTTAAATTTGATGTTGAAGTAGTAAAATTTGCGCGATACAAGGAGTCGTCTGATGAATCTATGATTTTCAAAGGTCCTTTTTCCTGCTCAGCGCGGAAATCAGCGAACAAAACAATTGGTAAAACTGTCATCCTTTTTTTCTGCTTTTCTATAAAATCCATCAAACGATGTAAACTTTCATCATTTGCTGTCTGAAATATCAAACATTCATATTATAAAGCTCTTAATTATAACATGTCAACTGATAATGCTGTCATAGAATACTGTCGATTACATTTAAGATCTTAACTTAACCAACTATATTCGATCGTTTTCTCTCAATCGTCGTAGTTTTCAAAAATTCAGTTTTAACTATGCTACATCATTAAATCAAATAGGATTGCCAGGAGGAATATTATTTCGAGAGTAGCAGAATGCTTAATGTTAATCGTCAAGTTACTGATAGTTTACTTAGTAATAAAAAAGATATGTTAACCTCATTTTTCGATTCCTTCAGTAATTTCTCAAAATCATACAATGAATCATCATAGCATCCCGCTGATTCTGACGAACAAATCTGTTTTGAACTAATTAAACCGGATCGAATAAGAATGGCGACCTAAAGTTTCAGTAAAATATGATTTTAAAAAACATATAATTAACGAATCTGCAATTCGAAAATCTAATCCCACAAACTTTAATTATGCATTAAAAGAGGGAAACAATATTACCATGGTAGATGTAGCGGCTTCTTGTAAACGAGGAATTCGGTCGTAATTAGCCAGTGGTACCCATGTATTTATCGAAACACTGATATTATTCAGATCATTTTCACTGTCATTAATATTGACACACTGAACACAATGCCACCAACCAGGAGGTACAAATATGACATCACCTTTTCTCAGGGTAGCCACTCTTATCTTCTTCCCTTGTAGTGAACTATCAGCACCAATCACATCCAAACTACTGAAATTATATTATGATTGCAGTACACTTCTATTCCAATTCTACAGTAAACAAAGTTCCTGATCTCACTCATTTCAAATATATAATTCAGACTGAGAACTATCTATACTTTAGCAAGGAAAAAAAAGTAACAAGCGCAGGAAAAAGAATCCCAAACCTAAAAACAGTGGATTCTTCATATGGAATTCGAACGGGCTTCATATTTTCGCTTGGCTCAAACAGAATCCACCTCTTTGATCCAGAAAGTTGAGCATGCACATTATAGCCATAAGAATCATAGTGACAGGGGGTGTGAGCTCCTGGTGTTCCTGAAATATAAATTTCCAAGTTTTGTCCAAGTTTGCTTCGAGACCTGATTGCACAAACGAAATGAAAAGTATTCAGATCAATTAAGAAACAATTAGACTATGCAAATTTCATTATCTTTGATGTTATTCACTTGTTGATGATCCTTAGCTGCTGCAACTAAAAACAGTTCGATAAACTTGCAACGTGTGAGATTTATTTAAATCAACTCAACACAAAAATATATTACCAATCCAAATGGTTGAGTCAACAGGACTGATATCCAATCCAAGATGCTGCCAATTGATATCATTGATATTTTCCGGATCCATAATATCAAAAACATAATTATAGTCGAAATATCCCCAATAGTTTGTTCTATCTACCATTGTCTGATCATCTGCCATCATTGTAGCTTCACCAATGAACCAGTTAAAGAATTGTTCAAGACTGGGGATATATGCCACTTTTGACTCATTTTCGAACATAATCTGCAGTAATACAATTACCCTATTCAGCACTTCTTTATCATTTCTCAATTTTTCTTCTTAGTTAAACTTTCTAATATGAAATTAGATCAAAATGACATTTTACTGCTTGCCGTATGCTGTTTTGTTCTACTTATAATTTTACTAAGTCATTTAACCAAATGAATCATATTTTATATCAATTATACAAACAAGCATTCGCCTCTAGCATTATGCATAATACTCTACCTTGTTATTATCAAACGATCAAGCACGTTTCGAATATACATACTTATTTATCTGGCATGAATTTAACCAATTTCATCACTACCATTGAAAAATAAAAAAAGTTAAAACTAACTTTTCCTCTTATATGTTCTATCGGACCTAATCTTATCCTTAAAAATCCGTTCCTTTCTGCAGGTTTTACAATTTCTGCTAATCGTTGATATGTCCACCTAATAGCTTTCCAATCACTAATACATTCGGATATTACGAACGGTTCCAAACATCCCATTTTTGAATGTACGGAAGCAAGTGATTCCATTATTAATCTAAAATTCATAACGATGAATTCCGTTAAGTAGAAAAGGGACGGATTTCATAATATAATCCCGAAAGTAAAAATACTACATAATTCCCTGTCAAATTATTAGAACATAGTATAGCCATATCTCGGGAAACTATAATTATAAACATAAGGAGGAAAAAAGTGATCCATATGAAAGAGCGATAAAAACGCCATAATATACACTTTATTAATCAACAACCATATCAAAAATAGGATGATTTATTCGACAAGATATCACATGGGATTATATATATGAGGTGGACTGTTCACATAACATCATCCATTTACCAAAATAACCGACTGCTTCGATAACTAATATCCATTTAGCCTCTTGTATAATAATCAACAATAATTAGTTCCGCACAAAATCGCCCTTCAATTCCCATAACTTACCCAATCACGGACCATCATCATCATCATCCCAAAATATCATGTTACAATTAAATTAATACTTTTATAAGATTCTTGGCTATCCATGACCGAATAATTGCATCTACATATATATGTACTTAATACACAAAATGCCAACAACGTTACACTCTCACTCAATGAAAAAATTGAAATAACACTTTTATTACTTAATAATTTATATTAATAGTGCATCATATTTCAAGTTCAAGACGTTTCCAGTGCAAACTTTTCTCGATATGTGTTGGAGAAAAACAATGTTTCAAAGAATCAATACTAATTCCACTTTATTACATTTCTACAGATTCGTACACATTTGCACTACATTATGAGTTGTTGAATTACACAGAACATGATTCAAATAGGTATTAAAAATATAAATATAATCAAAATGAATCTATTGCGATGATGATTCGGATGGAATCGATTCAAGTCCTTGAACTTTGTACATATTGCCTGTCAAGTTCCAATCTCGTTTGTTTTGAAAAATCCTTTAAAAAAGAAAAGAGTTAAACGACATTGTTTTTGTAACTTGTCTGCTAATTATTAATCGCGTGCTAATTGTTAATCGCTATTCTGATCATTTAGTGCTAATTATTAATAAAATGAAATTAACAATTATCTCACGCAATATGATCAAATTTTAACATAGGAATCAGATACATTACAAATTCCTTCATAACCTCATGGCACTCCAGATAAACTGACAGAATGCTGTATATGTTTTGCCAACAAGAAAAAATATGCCTCATTAAATGGAAAATAAATAAATTCAATCTCTTAAAAGAAGAAAGTATATTAATTAGTCACTCAAAGCACATCTACACCAAAGTAAGGGAACAAAATATTTTCATGATTGGGGGATCCTCTTGTTCATTTTGAAGTATGAAGCATTAAGCATCGTACTAATTAACACTCCATTCATGTTGAATGTTATAATACCACCAGTGGAATTTAGATGAATAATTTAACATAAGAATTTTTTACTGCATTCCGTTACTTACTGTCGTCCACTTGAGTGTCTTTTCCGGTACATTAAACATTAACTGGTATTCCGGTAAAACTATATTATTCAGAACAACATTTCACAAGTAGCAAACCATAATACTAACTTTACTGATGCAAATCATATCAGATAATTTCGTTTCTTAACATCTTATAAATTACTACAGATAAATAAAACCATTAAAGAAATCGGTTATATAAAACCGACTTATTTTCTGTGCTCCATATACTACGGTTACAAACTTAATTTAAAACAAATGTATGTGCGCATGGTATTATACCATAAAAATATTTCTCGAAAAAAAAGAAAACAAACAAATACATACATATAGCTACCCATATATCGACGATGTGCATGACCTGTTTCGATTAAATTGACCGGTAGCATAGTAAACATTGCTATTGCCACACAACCAACTGTTATCAGACTCGAATAAATCTGTTCATACCACATTCGTTTTGTGCTGAAACTTTCCTAATTAATGAAATATTATTTTTCAAGACAATTATCATAAAGCTTATTTAGAGTGATCTGTTTGAACTTGCATGATCATGACCTAAATATACTCAAAAAGAGCTGTAATATGGAAAAGCATCAAACAGGTGAGAGTACTGGAGCGTAGTATCATTATCTCAATATATTCAAATAATGAAAAGAGAGATGCTAACATATATTAAATAGATTGTATCTTCGAAATCTTCAATTTCCCCTGAGACTGTATTTCTGAACATGAGAACTACAAAAACGAAAACCGAATCATCAGAAATTAAATATTAAAAAGCGGAAATACCACGGAAAATGGAACCACTCAAAGTAATCCACTACAAAGTATCATTGTGACTTAAAATCGAACACCTACAATGCAAATCGATTGTATCATCATTTTCAGATCATTGTTAGTTCAGATGGATTTCAATCACAAAGTTGTTGGTGATCGATTATAATGTCAAAAAATTTTCTTTCATTGATTGAAACTAGCTCTTTTTTTCAAAATTTGATTAAATTACAAGAATTTTACAAAAGTAACTTAATTTTATTTGTATAATATTCTAAATGCGATGTAACACTGAATACTACCAATGTTCATTACTATCGTTATCAATTGGAAACCGCAAAATACGGCGAAAACTATCCAGAAAATGCAGTGGAATCAAATGTATCAAAAAAATCAACGCTTTCTGATATACTTTTGGAAGAATGAAAAGCCATTTATCGTTAAGGTTCAGTACATTCGATTCTAATTGAAAAAAAGCATAGGCTGTTAAGCTCTTAATTTGTCTCATTCTAATTCAGTACTATGCTAACATAAAAACAGAAATTTTAAGCTATTTTTCCTTTTTTCCTTCTTTTTTTCTTCCTAACTCTTCTTTGTTTAAGTTTCTTGTAGGTAAACATGTCCACCGAGGGATTTCAGGCTTCCATATATTAAGCTCTATGAAAAAAACATATCTTTTTATTCCCATTTTATTTCTATCACAAAGCTTATTTGTTCAGCCTTTTTTGATTTTTGAGAAGAATTTGAAAGGATTTTTTGGAATAACAAATTTTTCAAATTCAAAGTGAAATTATTTATTGGTGATAATTTTTCGTGTGCACCTGTTAATATCCGTTTCATAGTAAAAGTATTTCAAAAGATTTTTCTTGGAAATTTTTTTACTCTCATTTATATGCTATTTATGAGAAAATAATTGATCTAAGGTTGTTATCGCGTTAATATTTTGGTTGATAGTCATTTTTGAATATTTTGTATTATTAATAAAAATGATGAGCTTATGCAAGCTATTCTTTTCCATGTGTCATTTTTTTTGTTTTGTTTAATTACTGATTTTCAAAGCAAGGTTAAATTAAAACTAAAATTAAAAAGCAAACCACTAGTTACAAGAATTATTTTTTCTCTTCATTATCAGAAAAAAACTGCTGATAAAATTATGAATTTTGGCTGAAATTTAGAATTTTTCCTTATAGAATATTTTTTTGATAGCAAAATTTTTTTTTGATAGCAAAATTCACAAAGCATTTGTTTATGTTTGAATGCGATTCATTTTGCAATTAATTGTTTACATTTTCTTGGATTGTAAATTTATTTGTTCATCAAGACAGTATTGCTGCACTGACTCTGAAATTTTTAATAAATTTCAAACGATAACTTTATCAGTCCCACGTCAGTATCGCTTTAATCATTCTCATTCCCTTTCGCTTTAATATTTAATAGCAAATTTTTTTTTCGCTTGAAAACTGGACATGACAGCTTTCAAAAAAACTTCAATATATATTTTTTGTTTTTTCCAATGCCTGTATTTAAATGAAAAAAAATTTTTTTTTCTCCATTTCCGTATTTTCTCTTTTTTCAACAGCCTTTTTTCAAATTTGTTCTTGAAAGTTATCTAAATCCAGATTATAAAATTTAAATCCCAAATTTGATTGAGCTAAATGTTTCATTCATTTTCATTTTTGTTAATTCTTTTTGTATGTTTTTGATTTTCATATCATTTGTTAATTTGTAATATTTCAATGCAATAAAACATATTGCATTAATTATTTGGTAAATCAGTTAACAGTTAAAATTTTACACTATGAAATATAACAGGATGAGCGGAAAATGTCTCCTCTCATATACCTAATGAGATTTACATGACAATATAGAAAATCTTAATCTTTAGTAACTGAATAAAATTCTCATTATTCTGTCTCATTATTCTCATTACATCACATTTTTACCTGCTTTCACTCACTGTTTTTCATTGGTGTAAGCCTTACTGACGCTATAAAATGCAGCTTACCATGTTTATTTCACCTTTCAAGTCTAATAATTCATATATTTTCATTTATTTCTGCCTAACATTCATACTGTATTTGCATATTTTGCATACTATCGTAATACTTACCTTTGTAATAATACATTATTGTAAACATTACCGATTGCATCTTGCGTATTACTGTAATATCCATTCCCCACAACAACATTTTATTTATTATTGTAGCACCTGTATGTTATCATAATATTAGCTTACTACAGTGATATCTTGTATGTTATTATAATATTTAATTATTGATCTTCTGCATGCTCAGGATAGTTTTACATAGCACAGAGATTATTTTAAACTCTATTATATATATATATATATATATATATATGATGCCATACTTTTGTAAATATACTTACTGTAGTAATTGTAACGGTAATAGAAATAGTTTCAAGCTTTCTATGACTATCCTGTTGTTATATGAAAAAATTCCGTTTTTACGAAGACTGATTGGACCATCCTATTTATTCGGCCTATTTTTCGAACAATGTATGAATTATGTGTGAAAGAAACAACCATTTATTAATTGCTTGAAGATTTGATGCGAGTTCAATGATTTAAATCGAAAAATTTCCAATTACTTATGAAATAAAGGAGATGAATGATATTAAAGTTTAATTTAACACTTTATAAATTTGATTCGTCAAAGATAAATAACCACAATAAAATTTAAATATCCCATAAAAAAATATGCCATAAACTATTTTTTAAATTAATTAAGTAGATAACAAATTAATAACTATTGATTGCATAACAGCTTTTTTTTTCGTTATTTCATGGGACAAAGTATACTATTCATATATGAAGGGAAAATGAAAAAAATGCTTTGTAAGAAATTGATAAAAATATTGTTTATAAAATTTACCAATTGTACTATTTAATAATAAATTTTAAATGTTACCAAATAATATCTAACAAAAAATAGAAAAATATACAAACATTCGCAGAAAAAATGGAAAATTTTAACAGGAAAGTTCAAAATTCGTAAATTTTTGAAGAAAAAAAGGATGTATTTCAAAAATACATTCTTTATAAGTATCATTTTTTTTCTTGAAAAGTTAGAGCATTTCATGAAAAGTTTTTTACTCGATTGATGCCTGGAAGCGATACATGCAATAATACCTAATTATGTCGTAAGTGTTTAGATTATTAGGTCTAGCTAGGCCTCTCATGTTTTTAGGACCTTCCTCATGCGAAGAAATCAATAACTGCGCTGCTTCCATAGGTTAGTTAAATATACGATACGCAAGAATGCCCAACTCTCTGTCAATTGCCGCAGACATTTCTCATTTCAGGCACAAACACATTCCTCTTATTTCTTTACTATATGATATTGGTATTTGCAAAAAAATTTTGCCATATATTTTAGTCTTATCACAATTTCATTTCAACATTTTCACCCCAAAATTCAATCCCTTCTCAGTTATTGGAAATAAAATCTTTATGTGTAAGATAAAATGAATTCTTGTTTGAAAGGTAATTAATAAAAGCTATGAAGAAATATTTATCATCTCATCAAGCTTTTTTTTGCTACGACCTTCTTGATCTTATTTGCTAATCCTCAAATATATCTTCTTGTGGGTGTTTTTCTTTTTAATTTTTCAAAAAATGACATGCATTTTTTTACGCTGTCCTGTTGCGGTAAATCTAATAGCTGTGGTAAATTGAATATTTGGTCGGATTTTTCGATGTTTGATTTTCCAAAATAATATTTTGATCAAATTTCTTGACCTTTTGTCTTCTTCAAATAATCACAATATTCTCCGTATATTAGCGAATTGAGCTGGAAAATTTGTAAGTTAGATAAAAAAGAACGTTATGCAAAAACATGGCAATTAGATATCATTTAATTTTTGATCTGAGTATTGAAGAATGTTAGATTGTTATTTATCATTTTCTGTTTTATAGCTCCTTATGATAACATTTCAGATAAAAATTAGAGATATTTCTGTTGATTATTAGTTTCTATTTTTTTGCCTTAAGCACATTAAACAGTTGGTTAATTGCTTTTCAATTTGCAGGCCTGTAATCAAAATTGGCTGATACAACAAAGATAGCCAAGAATGACCATATTTGGTCGTGGGTCGGCCTCGAGAAAAGAAAATACAAGTAATAATGGTAACATTATTTTTTTTTCTTCCTTAAAAATTGTTTCAGAAAGTTAATTGAAAAACAAAAGGAAAAAAGATAAATAGTAACAGATATAATAAAGAAATAGTAATAAAATGTTTTAAAAGATTTTTTTTCAAAAAATTAAAATTATTTTAAAAAAGGTCAATTTAAAATGATTTCGATCAAAATGAAATATGTTCACATTTCAGGAACTTCAAAGCCCACGGCATTGCTCGATGGCGTAACAACACCGGCAACGGGTTTCGGTATCCGTTCCTATCTTCATCAATTTTATCAATCGCCAACTGTTGAAGATATTGAATCTTCTGGAGCCTGGTATATATATCCAGTTGTTATCATACTTTTAGCTCTGACATTTTTTTTTTAACCAACAATTAACTATGCAATTAATTATTGTTATATTTTCAGCTCGAATATTTTTATAAAATCAGCAATTTACCATGCAATTAATGATTATCATACTAATAATTTTTATAAAATCGAGAGTTAGCCAAGTCAATAATATTGAATAAAATAAGGAGTGATTTTTTCATCTGTCAGTCAAATTTTATAACAAATATTGTTAGAAATAATAAATTGAATTTTTATAATCTTTGATAAAATTCCTAAAACAATAGAGCGGCAACTGTAAGGAAAGCAGTAAATAATGAAAAATGATTGGTTAATTATTCAATAAAAGAAAAAAAAACTTTTTTTTTTCTATAAAAATGTATTTTCTTGCACTCAATCATTCATTAAATGCAATTAAATTAATTATTATGGTTTTAGTAACCGTTTAACAAAACGGTTTTGAAATTGTTATAATTTTTAAAAAGTTTAAATAGTTAAAAATTACAAGTTGTAGAAAATATTTTTTAGGAAAAAATCAACATTTTGGAAGAGATATCGTTATCTAAAGATGAAAACATTGCTCGATTCTCAAATTTCTTAATTAAAGTGTGTACATAAAAGGAAGAAAAAAATATTTGATTAGAATTTATTGTGAAATTATAGCAATATTTTTTTTTAAACTGAAGGAATAACACAGTATTTCTAGGCATTACTTCTAGGCCTGATTGATATCCTTAAAGATGATATATTTAAACGTTTTTTTACATGTAAATCATTTTAAATATGAGCAAAATTTTGAAAAATTGTGAAAATTCTATTAAGGTACCTTTTGCCACCACCACCAGCACAGCGGACAGGACTTTGGCTTTGTCGTGTGTTGACCGTTTTTGGCCTAATCCTATTGATTGGCGGAGCGGTCGCCATTGTTGTCGGCTATACTTGGCCTCATGAAGGAGTCGAAGAATCGATTGCACGAATTGCCGTCTATCAGGTAACATATTCTTCACTTTTTTCTCAAAAATTAAAAAAAGTCTAAATAGGAAAAATTTAGCTCGTTTGAAATTATAACTATTAAAAAAATTCAGTTGAAAGAAGCCATCAGCTAAAAAAAGAAGTAAAAGTTTTCGATCGCATTTAGAATTACAATAAGCTATCCTCACTGTTCAGTTAATGAAATGATATCATCCATTAATGATAATAACATCCGATGAAAACGACAGTGCTGTCCCCACACTTGGTTATGATGATATCATCTAATAATAACATTGTGATCTGATAGGTTGTCACTGCCTAATAGTGATAATGCAACCAAATATTTATAGACTTTCTGACAGTGATAACATCATCTCATAACGATGGCATTGCTTGATACTTATAGCATCACATGATAATGATATGTTATTTAATTGAAATGGTAGTTGATAATTGTAATATCATCTCGTTATTTGATAATGATAATATCAGCTAATATTAGTACATAGCATCGTCTGATCATGACAGTATAATATTATAATGATAGCATCACGTATTCATTGTTAAAAATTTCTAAAATTTCAGGATGAAGATGGAAGCTTTTATGTTCCACCGGAAAAGCTTGCTGAAATATTGAAGGATCCGATGCGTCGTTGGAAAATGTTTGGTTAGATATTTGAAATTTTTTCTCCACTTCCTTCGACAAAGTTACTTTAAATTATTTACAAAAATTTCCCAAAATATCATTCAATATGAATTTCTTTTTATTTGTATTCATGGAAAATTGCCATGTGCATTGTCGTTTTTTAAATTTTTAACAAAATATTTTATCAAAATTCATAAAAAATTCAATTAAGTTAATTAAAAAATTATATTTTGTACCATTGAAGAAAAGGAAACAAAATTTAATAATTTGAAACTAAAAACGTAAAATTGTGATGTATTGATTTAATAAATTGAATTAGCACATTTATCTCACTTTGAAAAAATGTTTTTTTTTTTTAAACAAATTTATTCATGTACTTAAAATAGAAAAAAGTTCGATCCGTTTTCTTGCTTAGAATATTTGACGAAAAAAGTGCTAATGCTCTAATTTTTTGTTATTTTCATAATTAAGCACTTGAAAAAGTCTTGGAAAATTTGTTACCTTGATTTTCTTTAACAACCAGTACTTTCAATTTCTCCTCTTTATGAACCAATTAAAATTCCAACTGTTAATAGGAAAATTTTAATTCTAACGAAAACTTTCTTGCTTTAATTTAATTTAAACTTTAGGAAAATTATTTGTCACTTTTATGCTTATCCTGAAATAATTCTTGAGTATAGCATTTGAATTATTTTAATACTACAATTTAATTTAACCAACATTTTTTCTTCTCTTTTCTTCTCTCT